GCCCAGGGTGGTCTTCAACTTGTGATCCTTCTGCCTCAGCCTCCTAAAATAGTGGGAGTTGCAGGCATGCACCAACATGCTCAGTTCAGATCTTCTTAACCTCACTGAATTGAGCAAAACATCTTGATGGTATCAAAGGCTGGTAAAGTGAGAATGAGCCAGGCAGAGGGACACACATATAATCCATGCACTGGGAAGGCTGAAGCAGGAGGATCAAAGGTTCAAGGCCAGCATGGGCTACACAATTAGATCCTTAAAATAAAAAAATTAGCAAACCTAGCACATTGATATACTGCCTCTGAAGACACAAAAATGACAGTAGTATATTTTAAAAGTATAATGGCAAAGCAAAGCATCATACTTTAAGACTTCAATATTTCTCTCTCAGTCATTGGTAATAGAGATACTATCAGTATGGCTATAAAATGAATTCCACTGTATTGCTAAACCAGAACCCTGAAAAGGGAAGATTACATGAGTAATCACTGAAGTTAAGCAAGAAAAGATTAAAACTCCCATTTTATTACTAGGCATAAAAGTGAGCAACATAGTACACTTTCACTGATAGAAATCCAATGGAGCCCTGTCATTTCGGGAAGAAACGCAAGGCCACTCATCTACTGTGACTGATATGTAACTATCAGTCAGTCTCAGGGATTTTATTTAACTTGTTTCAACCAAAACAGTTTTCACAAGTGGACAAGCTACTGGGGGGAAAAATGAAGCTACGGCACAAATAGTAATATAAGCACGAGAATGTAAGAAAACAGACCCAACACCAATTCTTGCTTCTTATGTAAATTCCCTGTACGTCACAAGATAAAATGAGAATCATAAATACAGAATTATGTTTTTTATCTCCTTTTCCAGCTTTTTGCTTTGTCTTTATCCTCTGCTTTATTGAGATGGGGTCTCACTATGTGGCTCAGCTGGCTTAAAACTCTTGAGCTCGAACAATCCTCCGGCTTCAGCCTTCTGGTAGCTGGGTCAACAGACACAAGCCACACTCAACTCTATCTCTTTTTAAATAGTAGTATATTGTAGGATAACATTTAACAATTGTTACTAATTAAATATTCTAATATCATTCATTGATCTATTCCCTTCATAGCTCTTTATTTTGGTTCTATATTGTATATAATAGTACATTTATATAATTTTAAAATAAGTATGCATGTAATATATACAGTGAGATATATACCCCAAGAAGTTTAATGATATGGTACACAGTAAAATAAAGGAAGGCAGCAGTCCTTATTGTGCACAGCCAGAATATCAGCACTCTGAGATGCTGAGGTAGGAGGACCACAAATTTGAGCCCAGCCAGGACAGTTTAGCAATTTAATGAGACCCTGTTTCAAAATAAAAAGTGAAAAAGGACTTAGGATGCAGCTCAACGTGAAGGCTCTTTGTTCAATCCCCAGTATGGTCTCAAAAAATAAAAAAATTACAGTAGAACACTCCATCATAGCAAGCCATGCATCTTTTGGCCATGCATCCCAATATGTAATATGGACTTTTAATGATATATTACTGTCAACCCACATTTAATTATTAGTCAAAATACACGTGAACTAGAAATTGTGATCAAAATTTACGGGGAATATTTAAAGGTTTAAAATGTCTAAATATTTAAAATGTCTCTCAAAATACTGTCCTTCACTTCAAACATACTTATCCTGCCATTTTTTTGTTTTATTAGTCCATGTATGAAATACACAATGATCCCAGGGAGCAGGCACACATACACGTCTCATCTTAGCCCTTTCACTTGCACTGTCCTGGCCACGCTGAAGCATGGAGACCTCCTTCAGTAGTGTCTCCATGAGCTGCGATCACAAGTCACAGTGCCATTCAGCGTTAAGGTAGACTTGTAAAGCATCGCCATGTGACCTCTGGCTCTTCCCAAAGTCAAAATGGCCTCAAGGGGTGAGCTCTGATTCAGGACCCCGAGGCAGCCACGACTGTGCCACTGAAGACACACAAGAGGCCTTGCTCAGCTACCTCACAAAGTGTGGGTGACCACGAGGTAGCTGTGTCCAAAGCGAGGGGGAGGATTCTGAAGGCATTAACAACATCATGTATTTTACTGCAATAAATGTGCCTAATGTAAAGTCACTGTTTTAGTCACATCTCATCTGCACCATCCCAGTCCCTGGGGCATGCCACCTAGACCTGGTGTGGTGGCACACACCTGGAATCCCAGCTCTGGGGAGGCTGAGACAAGAGGATCCCAATGAGTCTGAGCTGTGTAGCAAGACCCTGTACCAAATAAATAAAAGATTTTTTATTTTAGGGAAGAATCTACTGGGTGTTCAGGGTCTCACTACTAGATTGGACTCATAGTGATCCACCTGTTTTCAGCCTCTGAGTGCTGGGATTACAGGCATGCGCCACCACACCCAGTCTCAATTGTCATCTCAGCATGCCCCAGGGTGAGGCCAGCAGGGCAGACCTGGGGATGGAACACTGGGCCCCTGCACCTGCTTGCAGATGCTTTAATTCACTGAGCTATTTGGCCAGCCCAAATAAAAAATATTTTAAAAAATCTTTAAAGTTTACTGTTTCACAAACACCCTGAAACTTTTGCATGGTTTTTACCCGTGATTCCCAAAACTGAAAATTCTGATTTTTCTCAAAAATGAGTTTAACACTGATTTAACTGATTACATAAACTTCCAGATATGATTAGAATTGAACAACTTTTCTTTCCTTACACTGACAAAAAAAAAGAAAAGAAAAGAAAAGAAAAGAAAGAAAGGCAAAACCAGTTACTAATGTGTAACTTAAAACGTGCATCACTGCTTAAAGTTGTTTTCTTTTCTGCAGCAAGCTTCAGTTTGGCGCGCTCTACAAACATTTTTGTACACGAGTTTGCTTTGCTATGTACCTACATCATTGCATTTCATTTTTTAAAATTTTTTTTTTATTTTTTTGCATTTCGCTTTTGAACCATGTAAAAATTTAAAATATATTAATAAATGCTAATTGTGTTTAGATAACTAAAAAGCCATAGAGCAAATATCATGCTGTGTGTACAAGAAGCAGCTTCTCCCTGGCACGGTGCCATGACAGCCCCCCACCACCACCCAGGTGCACTGAGAGGGAGATTGAGACTGGGCGTGGTAGCGCACGCCTGTAATCTCAGCTCTCAGGAGGCTGAAAACAGGAAGATCACTATGAGTCCAATCTAGTAGTGAGACCCTGTAGAACCTGGACTAAAAAAAAAAAAAAGAACAAAAGGAAGAAGCTTCCTTTTATTTAAATACAATGTGAGAAAATGAAATGGATAGTAAATGAAACTTTCATGCTTTCCGAGTGTTTCCATTGGCTAAAGTACTCACCATTTACATCTTCAGTAACTCAAGTTTCCAATTACTTTCAATTATTCTTCCTTAAAAATAACCGCTTCTGGAAAACTTCCCTTAGATGGGAAATAGCATACACCTTACAGTGAGTCCCCACCCAATACAGAGACTCCTTTCCAGGGAATTATAAAGTTAAAATGTTAGAAAAAAGTTTGCTTAAGTCTTACCTGATTAAAGTCTGGCAGACCTGGCAGCCTGGAGCACACCTAAGTTAAAGGAACAAGGTGTCTGTTAATTTACTGATAAATTTGAAAATGCAATTAATGCTTATGTGGTAAATTATCTTCAAAGATCCAGAAGTCAGATTTGTGGAGCATTCACATATGATATTTTCTATATGTTATTTACTATGTATAATTATACTGTAGCAGCTATGATGTAATTAATTAAACATGGAGTCTTAAACCAGAATACCTGGATTTTTAATCTCATTGACTTAGCAATCTCTGTAAGCACCAGTTTTCACATCTGGCAATATTATCTACCTACAAAGTGATTAAAAGGATTATCTGGGCTGGACATGGAGGCCATGCTTGGAATCTAGCACTTAAGATGCTGAAGAAGGAAGATTTTTTTTCAAGATCGAGTGAGGCCAGCCTGGGCTAGCTAGTGAGTTCAAGGCCAGCCTCAACTACATAGCAACATGTCTCAAAAAGACAAGCAAAAAAAAAGAAAAGAAAAGAAGGAAGGAAAAGATATTACAATGAAGTCTATCAGATCACTTCTTATTAGAAGTTTAAAAGGGAATCAATAATGAAAATAAAATTTTATTGAAATTTAAAACAGTGAAACACCATTTTCCTGCCCATGGTAGTGAAGAAAACCACACAAAAGCTATAGCTTTGAGAGTCTTACTAGAATCCTATAAATGAGGTCATAGGAAGAATGGTCATCATCATTCACTAGCTTTTTATAACCTGACAAAAAGAGAGACTGCTCTTCTTCCTCCATAAAATGTAGCAGGCTTTCAGCCATTCGTGACACTGTGATGGGTGATACTCCTTTCTCTTACTTTTCTTGGTGCCAGGCTTCAGGCCCAGGGCCCCATGGGGCTAGGCACGTGCTCTGCCACAGGGCGCCATCCTGGCCCCACTGAGATTCTTCTTAGGTTCCGCTACTCTATAGGTTAATAACAGACTTAGTAATTTCATTACTTTTCATGAGGTTCAAGGTAATTGTGAAGATGATTTTCCATGTACAGAAGCGAAATGAGCTCCCTGGAACTCAATCTACCTTCCCCTGCAGCCACCATCTGGTTATGAGACATCATAAAAGATGAAGGGGAGAACAAGGTTACCTTGGCATCCTATAAATGTTGGCGCCCAGGTAAAAATGAGAGTTTCCGATCCTAGGGCTTAGCACCATAAACTCAAGGAGGGTGGGACTAGTCAATGTTTAACATGGGCCAGGAGCCCTCTTTGGTCATCCTCAAAGAACTAGAATTTCAAGAACCTCTCACCACACTGCCCCTCCTAAGCACAGTTACAATTTCTAAGCTTGAAATGAATAAAAGGCCAATGGCATAAAGGAGTCCAGAAATAAAACAGCTCCCTTGGGCTGGCCAAATAGTTCAGTGGACTAAAATGCCTGTTTAGGCAGATGTAGCAGCTGGGGGTTCCATGCCAGCCCCACCCCTGGGGCATGCTGAGACAGCAATTGAGACTGGGCATGGTGGCACATGCCTGTAATCCCAGCTCTTGGGAGGCTGAACACAGACAGATCACTACAAGTCCATTCTACGTAGTGAAACCCTGTAGACCCTGTAGACCCTGTACTAAAATACAAAAAATAAATAAATAAATAAATAAATAAAGTAACTTCCTTCATTAAAGTATTATCTTTCTATTAGCCTTTTAATTCTTCCCCCAGGGCAATGATAGCCAATCTTAATTTGATGGAACTGGTTACCAGGGAAATTTTCCATAGCCTTGTCCTTCTCTCTTTCCCAGCCTGCCATGTTGACCTTTGTTCTACAAGTAGAGTTTACAAATTGTTGTCAAGAAAGAGCTCAGGGTAAAGGTCAAGTGTGGTGGTGTATGCCTGTAATCCAGGCATGCAAGAAGCAGAGGCAGGAAGATTACAGTGAGTTCAAGACCAGCCTGGGCTATAAAGTGAGCTCAATGCCAGCCTAAACTGCATAGTGAGACCCTGTCTCAAAGAGAAAAGAGCTCACGGTAGTCAAACCCAAACCATCCTGCTCCAGTGCCCTTCCCCTGCTCAAGTGAAAAGCTGCAAATTGAGCACTGCAAGCCGACCTGTCTGAACAGTCACCATTTTCCACCGATACTTGAGTTGGGGATAAGGAACATCCCATTATTTGGGACATTCAAATCCAGACATTAGACAATGTTGATCTGGATGCTCCAGAAGGAATGCAGATAAGGAGAGATGACAGAACCTCTCTACCCCACTAGGAGGAAGAGGATCATGGGGAGAAGGAAGGAAATCTACTACGGTGGTGGCAGCGATGTTAGCATGTGTGACTGCTTTATTCTTCATTGATCCAGTAAACAGATTGCTTATCAGGAGCCATTGTCATAGGCACCTTGGCTGAAGAAAGTTACAATACTGACACAGTACCCTTTCTTAGCAGATTTTCTACAATAATCATGTTGTACTTTTATAAAATAAAATAAAATAAAATAATAAAACCTCTCATTAAACTTAACAAATTTTAACCTTGGAGATACTCTCAAATGTTCTAGACAAGTCATATTTCCAAATATCTGCAAACAGTCCTTTGAATAGTATTGCTTTTGAAAAAACAATGTAATTAATTTTACCTGTGAGGGTCTTTTGAACTGGGTATGATCTTGTTACATTCTCTCTTGTTGAACACTCCTTCGACCCAAGATTTCTGGGACTGAACAGAAAGTATCATTATTTTTTAAGAGAGAAAGCAACTACTCACAACCTAACCAAGTAGACCAGATTTATGTAGGTGTCAGGAACAGTCATTAAAATGCTAACACCAGCCCAAAACAAACTCTCAAGTGATTCACAAGATTCCAGTAAAGACACAGTTGATGTGTCCTCATAAACCTACTAAATGTCACCTTCATGTCTTGCAACAAAATCTTATGGCATAAATATCTGGCACGCAAAACCCACACTTCCTACTCAGGAAGCCCCACTTGGGCTAGGATTTCACCAGAAGTTGGAAAGAGCAGCAGAGGACAGATGCCACACAGGTGAGTCACAAGCCTAACTTACCACTGACAATGTCACTGCATGTGGCATGGTCTATAACTGCCCCTGAATCCAAGTAGGACCCTGGGACTCACTCCTCCTCTAATGACATTGATCCCATGCTCCAAAGACAAATCATTCCCAGCCTCCCCTAAGAGCTATGTTAGGATAGAGTTACAGGACATGAACCCTCTATAGAGCCCTTCCAACCCATGAGCTTAGCCTCATCCTGATAGGAAAATACCTCAACTCCTTAAAGCATGAGTATGCAAGAATGAATATATCTTTATATATAGGTATGTACAAGGTGTGATTGAAAATTGCAGTGAATGTTTAAATTTATTTAAGTTTACTACAGAAAAAGACAGGTTAACATTAAACCCTGGCCCTCACTTTAAACACACTATTCCCATCACCCTCGCCACTTTCTCAAGCAGTTCCAGAAGTCCCCGTTTCATGAGTGCCTTTAGCGGTGCTATAGCAGCCACTTCAGTGACCAAAATTCGCTTACAGCATTTACCTTTCATGGTCATTCTGCCTTCGAGGAAAAGCCAGAAGTCACCCACTAGGCCTGGTGAGTGAGGGGTGGGAATGCACGGGAATGTTTCCGTGAACATGCTTTCCCCCTGGATGGCACTGGGCCACAGCACTCGCCATATTTTTTTAAACCACATTTCTTAAAGACCCTCATGAAAGAGGGTTTTTCAGAACTGCTTCAGAAAGTGGCAAGAATGATGGGATCGGTGTGTTCAAAGTAAGGCGGAACATTTTGAGGGAGATTAGAGGCAATCTGTCTTTTACTGCAATAAACTGTAAATTTAAACATTTGCATGTTTCCATCACACCTTAGAGACAAAAGGGAGGTGAGCCAGGCTCTGTAAGGGGTATTTCCAAATTCCACATTGGCACAAGCCCTTCTTTACTTGTCCCCCCTCCCTACCAGATCCTTCTCCGCAAGGAAATGTAGTGGGCAGAAGCCAAGTAGCAGTACAGCTTACAGCATCTCCAAGGTATCTTCAGCGTTCTGGGGGATAAAAACGAGGCAACTCATGCAATCCTTTACATGCTTCAGCACATCAGACACACCAACCCTAAATCCAAGGGCTCACTGCTGGTAGGAGTCAGGATAACCAGAATCCGGAGCTTGGTGAGCAGATTTACAGCTGACAGTAAAGACTTGTCAGCCGGTTCTTCTGCATTTAATCCATATCAGCAAATGAGAAAGCTTTCCAAATGAAGACCAGAGGTATCTTAAATCCTTCTACCCTCCTATCCCTTTTATCTGGGTTGGCAAGTGTGCTTATGTATTACAAGGCATTCAGTAAGTTGGCAACACACTGAAAACATGAACTTGGAAAAATCCAAAGGCCTAAAATGTAAAACAAACTAATTGAATAGTAAATTCAAAATCCAAAGAAATGACACTGAGAGAGAGAGAGAGAGAGAGAGAGAGAGAGAGAGAGAGAGAG